TATCTGGTGGGTGCAGCGACATGTTGGGTCCAAGCGCTCTGTTGAACGACTTCTAACAGCGCCGCTGCAAAAGGTCCGCCTGATTCGACGCGCTGGAGCTCAATCCAGGAGGCCTTTGGGGCGTTGAAGTCACCTACCAGCGGGAGATGAGTGAAATGGTAGTTGGAGGAGAGTTGCTCAAGGGTTTGTGTGGGGAATTGGTCATCTTCAGGGCGACTCGAAGGGCTACGTGCTGGCAAGCATACTGCCCCGCGCTGAGAACATAAAGATCAGCACTATACCCCTATTCACTTGTGCCTTTCAGGTGAACGACAGCCACTGGCCGACAAGAACAAAACCGACCCGGGAAACTTGGGCAAAATCCTCGATACTGTGTGTCAATCCGTGAATCCGTGAAGTACGTGACCTTGACAATGTGCCCGATGCGCCCAAAAAGTTGTCTGGAAGCACGCGTCTTGGGGTGTGCGGCGTGACTGGCTCCTTCGATTCAGTTTCTCTTGTTCTTGCGTGGTATGCACGTTGGACTGAGATGTTTTGGGTCTCGTCTTTCAAAAGTGTGCATTCCGCTCCGGGTTGCAGCTCTGCATCGCAATATGGTGCTTGGTTGTCGGTTTCTGACATCCTCTGCCCTCCATCTCACAACCTTCAAGGTACGTGGAGTGAGCTGATTTGTTGTGCTTGGGTAGTTGGTTGATTCCTCGGGTTTAGTGCTGAGCAGTTAATTGTCTTCAAGCAAACAGTTCGACAATATAGGAGTTAGGTTCGAACCTCGTGTACTTCGGTCTGGAGGTATTCAATGCATTTGATGAAAGTGGATACCCCGGCTTGTTCAATGGTTCAGAGCGATATAGTACCTCGGCAGGCGAGCGCCTTGCCACTTTCGTCATGCTGTTGCTTCTGATTTCTTAAGACCGCAAGTAATCACAATTCGTCGAGGCATCTGGCCTCCTAGCCAGAGTATTCCATGTATACAATACATCTCGAGAGGGCTCAGTGGTTAATGTGCGGAGTCACTGACTGGAAATTGTGGGGTTCGAACCTCTGCATTTTGGCCGCTCCTGTCTGGGTTTCGGCAACCTCATGACTCCTGGGAGCATGGTATCTAGACATCCAAAGAGCGCTAACTAGCTGCTAGCTACCCATGCGTTCGAGGAAACTAGGTGTCTGGTTATAAGGCGGTCAATTGATCATCACTTACTAATGAGCATCGCTTGTTAGTGATTGTTTGCGTCAGATAACCGTGATTTAGGGTCATTTCGTGGTTGGAAAATCGCTTGCCAACCGCTTTTTCACATTCGGTAACCAAAAGATGGTTTGCAAATAACTATTCTTAGAACTTATTGGACGGTTGAATCGCATTTTCCCAACCGAATTCCACAGGTAACCGCCACATAACAATATTTCGCCGTTATTGAGCTGTTATACAACCACATGACAACCAGATTCCACCATTTGGCGTACCACTACATAACCGATGTGTAACTGTCTTTCACGTATGACAAATTCAGCTTTCAAAAGTGTGCATTCCGCTCCGGGTTGCAGCTCTGCATCGCAATATGGTGCTTGGTTGTCGGTTTCTGACATCCTCTGCCCTCCATCTCACAACCTTCAAGGTACGTGGAGTGAGCTGATTTGTTGTGCTTGGGTAGTTGGTTGATTCCTCGGGTTTAGTGCTGAGCAGTTAATTGTCTTCAAGCAAACAGTTCGACAATATAGGAGTTAGGTTCGAACCTCGTGTACTTCGGTCTGGAGGTATTCAATGCATTTGATGAAAGTGGATACCCCGGCTTGTTCAATGGTTCAGAGCGATATAGTACCTCGGCAGGCGAGCGCCTTGCCACTTTCGTCATGCTGTTGCTTCTGATTTCTTAAGACCGGAAGTAATCACAATTCGTCGAGGCATCTGGCCTCCTAGCCAGAGTATTCCATGTATACAATACATCTCGAGAGGGCTCAGTGGTTAATGTGCGGAGTCACTGACTGGAAATTGTGGGGTTCGAACCTCTGCATTTTGGCCGCTCCTGTCTGGGTTTCGGCAACCTCATGACTCCTGGGAGCATGGTATCTAGACATCCAAAGAGCGCTAACTAGCTGCTAGCTACCCATGCGTTCGAGGAAACTAGGTGTCTGGTTATAAGGCGGCCAATTGATCATCACTTACTAATGAGCATCGCTTGTTAGTGATTGTTTGCGTCAGATAACCGTGATTTAGGGTCATTTCGTGGTTGGAAAATCGCTTGCCAACCGCTTTTTCACATTCGGTAACCAAAAGATGGTTTGCAAATAACTATTCTTAGAACTTATTGGACGGTTGAATCGCATTTTCCCAACCGAATTCCACAGGTAACCGCCACATAACAATATTTCGCCGTTATTGAGCTGTTATACAACCACATGACAACCAGATTCCACCATTTGGCGTACCACTACATAACCGATGTGTAACTGTCTTTCACGTATGACAAATTCAGTTTATCAGCTATAAGCCATGTACCATAGGCACATTGGTTCCAGCTGCTACAGTTTCGATCAGCGGAAGACAGGAGAGTGTGGGACATACAGCCAAGCCTTGGAGGTGATGACATGTTCACTTTGTTCGGAAGCATCGGTATTGAACACCTATGTCATGCTGTCGATGATGATGATGATGATGAGGAGGAGGAGGAGGAGGAGGATGAGGATGATGATGATGATGGCGCATTGAAGGCGATAGTTGTGATAGACGGGCTCCACTGACTGTGCCATTGGGCCATTTCCGCCAGTGTCATTAAATACTGGTGAGTTGAGCCCCGGGATCCCCATCCAGGAGGCGGTTGGCCGTGACCGCCGGCACATTGTTCAATACGGTTGAAACCAAAGAGTCTGGTGCTGCTCAAAAGGCACCCGCTGTGCGCGGCTGTATTAAGTGAAACAGTGATGCCGTACTCCCCGCGCCATCGGGCTGGGCCGGCCCCCTGCAGTCAAGTGGGTCAGACTATTGATTCATTGATCTCGGGCAGGGTCCCCGAAAAAAGCTAACAACCACTGTCTCGCGTTCAGACTCTTGAGCTAAAGACTCGAGACAGTGCTCACGAAGAAATCCTGCATCCTCCCATCGATCACGATTCCTCCCAATCTTTCAAGAAGCGCAGAAAGCTGTTCACAGGAACCTCATCCTCGAATCCGAACCGTACCAACAACACCAAAACTCTTCCTAATCCCTTTCATATCCTTCTGGCAAGTCCCACATTGTCCGCCTCACAGTTTGGGCCATTTCCAACACGCCTTGGTGGACAGCGTTTCGGCATGCGTTGCACATGACCGAGCTGCCGTACTTGATGGTGTCGGATGCCTTCTGTGACTGAAGTACTTACCGCACAACCAAATGCCCCTTGTATAACATCACGTTACGAATTTGTTGACGTCCTCATCATCATCATCGTCATCACCAAAGACAGCAACATCATTGTTGACACTGATGCTTCACTGCCGCACAACCATAAGGTTCGTCTAATCATGTATGTATATATGTATATTAAAATCCCTAGAACTAAAAGAAGAGAAAAAGAGTGGGTGCGGGAGGGGACTTAGTGCTGGCCTATGTTAAGCATTTCGAGGTTCCTCCATCCGCTCAATCAGAAAATCTGGAAAGAAACTGACATGTGCTGTCCCCCTCGCGGTTTGCGCCATCCTGAAAGAGGCACGTTACTAACTCGCTGACGCCATGCGAAACCAGCCACGCTTCTGCGGCATCGGTGGTCGAAAGCCTGAAGACGCCTCACATCCTCTATCCAGAGGCCATGTCTCGCAACCATACACAGTCAAGTGGGTCAGACTATTGATTCATTGATCTCGGGCAGGGTCCCCGAAAAAAGCTAACAACCACTGTCTCGCGTTCAGACTCTTGAGCTAAAGACTCGAGACAGTGCTCACGAAGAAATCCTGCATCCTCCCATCGATCACGATTCCTCCCAATCTTTCAAGAAGCGCAGAAAGCTGTTCACAGGAACCTCATCCTCGAATCCGAACCGTACCAACAACACCAAAACTCTTCCTAATCCCTTTCATATCCTTCTGGCAAGTCCCACATTGTCCGCCTCACAGTTTGGGCCATTTCCAACACGCCTTGGTGGACAGCGTTTCGGCATGCGTTGCACATGACCGAGCTCCCGTACTTGATGGTGTCGGATGCCTTCTGTGACTGAAGTACTTACCGCACAACCAAATGCCCCTTGTATAACATCACGTTAGAATTTGTTGGACGTCCTCATCATCATCATCGTCATCACCAAAGACAGCAACATCATTGTTGACACTGATGCTTCACTGCCGCACAACCATAAGGTTCGTCTAATCATGTATGTATATATGTATATTAAAATCCCTAGAACTAAAAGAAGAGAAAAAGAGTGGGTGCGGGAGGGGACTTAGTGCTGCAGTCAAGTGGGTCAGACTATTGATTCATTGATCTCGGGCAGGGTCCCCGAAAAAAGCTAACAACCACTGTCTCGCGTTCAGACTCTTGAGCTAAAGACTCGAGACAGTGCTCACGAAGAAATCCTGCATCCTCCCATCGATCACGATTCCTCCCAATCTTTCAAGAAGCGCAGAAAGCTGTTCACAGGAACCTCATCCTCGAATCCGAACCGTACCAACAACACCAAAACTCTTCCTAATCCCTTTCATATCCTTCTGGCAAGTCCCACATTGTCCGCCTCACAGTTTGGGCCATTTCCAACACGCCTTGGTGGACAGCGTTTCGGCATGCGTTGCACATGACCGAGCTGCCGTACTTGATGGTGTCGGATGCCTTCTGTGACTGAAGTACTTACCGCACAACCAAATGCCCCTTGTATAACATCACGTTACGAATTTGTTGACGTCCTCATCATCATCATCGTCATCACCAAAGACAGCAACATCATTGTTGACACTGATGCTTCACTGCCGCACAACCATAAGGTTCGTCTAATCATGTATGTATATATGTATATTAAAATCCCTAGAACTAAAAGAAGAGAAAAAGAGTGGGTGCGGGAGGGGACTTAGTGCTGGCCTATGTTAAGCATTTCGAGGTTCCTCCATCCGCTCAATCAGAAAATCTGGAAAGAAACTGACATGTGCTGTCCCCCTCGCGGTTTGCGCCATCCTGAAAGAGGCACGTTACTAACTCGCTGACGCCATGCGAAACCAGCCACGCTTCTGCGGCATCGGTGGTCGAAAGCCTGAAGACGCCTCACATCCTCTATCCAGAGGCCATGTCTCGCAACCATACAACAACACTGCCCTTACTGTAGCCTGGTACACAACCCTTAAGATCCAGTGGGACGCCCTTTTGACGCCACAAGTGACGCAAATTAGCAAACGTGGTTCGAGCCTTTGAGATTCTTGTAGTGTTTTCATCAGATACGCTTCCGACAGAGCTAACACAACTACCGAGGTGTGTAAAGTTTTCCACAATCTCCAGTGGTTCTTTTTGAATTGTAAGGGATATGTTCGTACATGGCACGTTCTGAAGCATGACTTTGCACTTTGAAGGTACAAGGCGCATGCCAAGAGGTGTTATGATGAACAAGAATGGGGAGAGTGGACATCCTTGTCTGAAACCGTTTTTTGTAGGGAAGCTTTTGGAGAGCTCACCATGCACCCTCACCCGCCCAGAAGTATGTGAATATATGGATCGGATTATGTTTCCAAATTTCTGGGGCATACCCTGTTGGGCAAGTGTAGTTAACAGAACTGATCGATCAACAGAATCGAACGCACCCTTGAAGTCAAGGAATACCAGGATTGTGGGTCGTCTGTACATGTGGCGTTGCTCTAACACCTGACGGCGAACCGAGCAGCTCGCACAGGCAAACTTATGCCACTTTCTGGGCATCACTGTACTTCTTTGGCGACTCAAAAGAGAATCACATAGCAATGCGTAAATACCGTATAATTGCAGTATCCTAAAACAGCTCTCCTACAACACTCATTTCCGATCACCTTGTACCCTTCTATCTCCTAGACTTTCCAAACAGAATCTGTTCGGTCATCACGAGCATGGTTTAGTACTTCCCCTTCAGACGGGAGTAGCCGTCTTCCAGGTTCCGATGGGTCAGACGATTCAGATTCACCTTCCTCACCGAAACCGGAAGTGCCCCCACCTCCAGACACCACTGCTCCTCATCCAGAGCTGGCGCTGTCTACTCAGAATGTTCCAGAAAACTTCCCGCTGGTGCCGGTCATCGCAATTACGGGAACGCCGTTGTTTCCGAAATTTGTGAAGATGATTGAGGTAGGTTTTTGGTCCTAATTTTCATCTTGTCTCCAATACCCTTGTTTTTGTGTGCCTTGCTTTTCGCTGTATAAGGCAATTTTTACCAAGACTTTACCATAACGTTTTCCGTTTTTTTACCTCCATACCTCGTACGGAAGTGTTGTTAGCGCATAGGTGAGGTCGGCTGATCAGTTTAAATTGATGGGAAACCTGTTTTCGCCCCACTTTTATTTCTCGCTCGATTTTTGTTTGTTATATGAGATATGACTGAAAACTGTTTCGACATAAGAAAAGCGGCAATAGAACCTATTGTTTTGGTATGTGCAAGCCATTGACGCATTAATGTCGCCGCATCCTGGCTAATCTCTCGCGACATGGTCGAGCTTTGACTGTGAGACACTTGATAGTGAACAGACAAACAAATAACGCGACGAAATATTGGTGCGCACTGATTATGTCTCCTCGTATGGTGACGAAACGTTTGCAAGTCGATTGCCAAGCTTGGCGAACAGATCAACAGCCACCTGATCAACAACCAATAAACAAATAACGTCTTATCGAATCCGCCTTCAAATCTCACTTATATGGCGCTTTCGTGTGGAAAAGCATGTCAATCACATATCGGTCCTTGAGCAACAGATGGGCTTGAGCTGTGTTTACATACGGCCCCGAATCAGGTTTACAGTTGATAGCGATGCTTTACACTAGGATTTCGCTGTCAGGCGACTGGTAAACTGAGCTGTGATGCTCCTGAAACCGTGTGACGCTCAAGAACTAGACTCATTTAAGTTTCCCCTGTGGGTTCGTGACATCCTAGGTACTACCTTCCCTAGTCTTAGTCCTTTAGGGGCTATCCATTTTTCCTAGTGGTTTGCTTTTCTCCAAGTAGTTTTTGGATCTTTCAAAGATAAACCGAGTCTGTGCGTCAATGAATCCCTGGTGCAAGGTCAGAGCCACAAAAGCCATGAAGTTGGAAGGCCGCTGAAATGCTTTAGCTAGCGGATTCAATCTATTGGCATGGGATATCCCGTAGCAGCTTATCCTCATCCAATACAGCGCTATTTGGCATTCACAGTCATCCAACCGCGTTTGGACTCGATGCATCTGAACTGGTTAAATGCTTCTTTGTGTAGTAAGCTGTCAAGGTACTAAATATATTCTCAACTCACTAGATCGATTCCTGTTGCGCAACTGAAAACTCTCCGCAGGCTTATCTCTAAATACAGCAGGTTATGGTAATCTCAAGAGGCCTGTTCTCAGAGGAAGAGCTATACAACATGGGAGGTCACGGAAACGTTATGGACTTTCCCGTCGAATGACCTCTTTTTGGGACTGTTCAACTTGCATTCCCATTTGTAATTTCTTTTAGTCCCTCAATGTCTGACCTGTCCTAAAAACAATTGATATTGGTATCCCACTCCAGTTATGTGACAATTACCTGTGAGTCTGTGTCTGCTGCTGCTGAATTTCATGTCCACTGCAAGCTATGGCCTAACCTTCCCTTGGGCTCATCACCTCATTCGGAACGCTTCTGGAGCATCTGTCCATACTGCTCTCTCTCTACGAATATCAGACGGGCAGAAAAACTGAGTTTAGATGTGTCAAACACTCCATCGTTCTGTCGTATCTGCCTACATCTCGATTACAGATATCATAGAAACGACCTAGTTTCTATTTGATTAGCCGACATTGTAGATCCCAGCTTCTCAGTACAAATACTTTTGAGTATACACCACGCGGTTTTAATTGTCTCTCATGAACCTTAATACGAATAGTCGTTCAGCTGTAACACCCCTTCCTTGCCTAGCTGCCATGCCACCCGGAGGAAGCACTGGGCTGGGAATACACCACGCGGTTTTAATTGTCTCTCATGAACCTTAATACGAATAGTCGTTCAGCTGTAACACCCCTTCCTTGCCTAGCTGCCATGCCACCCGGAGGAAGCACGTGGGCTGGGATGCTGCCAGGTTTCCCAAACCTAGACACAATCTTGCATTTATAACGACTGCAAAGGTGCCCAATAGTCCGCTTGAAGTTGTATTGTCCCCTGTGCCTCCTCCTTCCCTAGATCAATGATGAAAAGCTGATCTCCTTATTGAGGCGTAAAATCAAGCTGAACACACCGTATGCAGGTGTGTTCCTAAAGAAAACTGCTTCAGAGTAAGTTGTTTTCAATACAGTCTACATTGCCCCCTCCTTTCTAATCGTACACCGTTTGTCTGCTCAAGAATTGAGGATGATATGGTTGGTGTGGGGTGTCTAGGAGTTTTCAGCAACCTTGTGAGTAGTTTCCTTTATGAAAATATACTGCGATATCTCGAATATCGTGCCAACTGAATCGTGAGGCGGCCTGTGTGCAGCACATTCAGCTGGAGAACATCATAAGCGAGAGATTCAATTGAGTCTCCCGTGAAAACCAAATTGATTTGCAGATGAGTGTACTACTCAACATATTTAAAGTTTAACACCACTTTGTTGACAAACTCGGTATCTGTCTGACAACCGAGTGCACAGTTGGCACGTGGAGGGGACCCTTGCTAGTTTATTAACTGGTATTCAGAGTGCTTCACTGACCTCCATGGGAGTTACTCTAGCACGAAGAACTGTTTGAGTACATTTAGTCTTGAGCATCAAGTTCTCCGTCGCCTGTCCTACCTAATTATAGCTTTGGGATAATACCGGTATTGGCTGAAGTCATCAGGAACCGGTTTTCCACATCCTCGTCAAAGTAAGGCGGAAAACTGTAGTCCCTTACACTACACTGTGGTATCTGTTAAAGGAATGGACATGCTCAAAACTTGGGTGCAGTTCTTAAACTGACCCTCAGTAAACCAGGATAAATTTGTTCGGAGGTATGCATCGAAGCTTTTGAGTATCCTTTTATCTGTCACTTCTTGTTAATTTATCTCTTTTCATTCTTCCTATAGTCAGTCAGACGTGGTCAATTCCCTGGACGATCTGTACCGCATTGGGACGTTTGTTCAGATACCGGAATGGGATGATTTGGGTTCAAAAATGCGTCTTCTGGTCATCGGCCATCGTCGGTAGGTCTCTTTTCGTGTTTTCAATGTTCCCAGCTACCGTTTATCCCTTTTTATCGAGTTTTCTACGTTTGTTTGCGTCTACTTGTTCATTTTAACTAGTACGCTGACCAATATACCGGAAAAATCATCCAGCTGTAGCACCCTTTCGGTGCTTAACTGCCATGCCACCCGAAGGTTGCATGAGCGCTGGCATACTGCCAAGTCCCTAAGCCTAGACAGGGTAGTCCAGAGGCAGAGGCATGGTCCGAACCACGAACCTTCTGGTCAGTAAATTTGCGCTCTTACCACTTGGGCCATCTCGCTGCGACCAACATATGCTACACAGTGGTTCAGAATAGCATGGTCGTTGGAATCGGTGTTTGAGATCAGCTGGCACATCGACTATGTTGGTTTCCTAGGTGGAAAAAGTCCAGTGAATTCTCTATACGGCTGTTCATGGCAGGGTGTTGTGCATATTACTTGTAGGAGCCTTTTCTGTTGAGTGCCCGTCCAGAACAAACCCTTCGTCGATTATCGTTTGGTTGCCCCGATTCCCGGAGATCAGCTTATGAATCTCAAACAAGGCTCAACGGGTAGTAGAGATCTTAGAATTCTGAGCACTTGTAACTTAAGTAGCATCTATCGATTATTTACAGTGGTGTCCTTAGGTAGCCTGCGTACTGCGGATGAACATCGATGTGTTGTATACAAGGGGTTCTACTTAGCCTCCCTTTCCTATGAGCATATAAACTCAAGGATAAACTTACAACCATATTACTCTACTAGTTGGGGGTAGTGACCTGAGATTCCGAGGCTTACCTTGACCTCAAACAGACTGAAACCTGTAGCACAGTGACTGTGGACTTCGCACAATTGTCCCGTACTGCTTATAAAAATTGTTTGCTTCTTCGAACATATATAGTGGATGGACTCGACGATTCCCGCCTTCCTCGATTCTGACTTCGTTTAACTTTTTCTGAAATTCGACCACTATCAAACCATATCCCTTCTTTCTCGATCTCTTTTAGTATTCAACTCGTACGACAGGTGGACGAGAATGCAACGTTTCCTGTGGACAACGGAACGGCATCACCTTCTAGTAAGTTGCCTCCTTCTTGTGGCTAACACAGTTAGAAGTCCGGTTCGCACTCATCCATAACGGATTTTATATCAGGTTTGGTATAGAAGATAATGTTGGTAGCTCATGTTCAGTGGGTAGTCGAACTGTTCGCTCGACTTGGAGGGTTCAACCATGTTTGTTTCGCCAGACCAAATCATGGAAACGTAGACAATATCTCGTGAAATGAAGCTTACGTGATACTCCGTTCCAACTGTTGCATTTGATATCCTATCTGATAGTCTGCCGACGACCTCGCGCTATCCTTACCGATCCTACCCTGTAACGTCACCCGTTGTTAAATACAGGCCATGTGGACCATGCTTACGAACTGGCTCCCGTGCAGACCGAACGTTCCACGAACCAACTGTGGACTGGTTGCCATCGTCCAGTTGACGGAACTTCAGACATACTATGTGACTCTGATAGATCTCTTCATGCTCGTTTCTAGCCCTCTCATTCTTTATGTCGCAAGGAAGTTGCTTCGAACCACGCAATAGCACATCGTGTCATAGAGTTACACTCGCAGCATAGTCATCCACTGGATTATACTGAGTGACCAAATGGTCTATTTCCGTAGCTTTCGTTAAGGAACATGTCCCCATACACTCAGCTTGCCGGCAAACTGTCCCTCTCGGTACTCTAACCATTCTACATAGAATTTTGTGACCCACCTGCGACGCTGACATCAGATTATGGGGTCACCCCGGGTTCCGTTGGTCCATTTTAATCTACCGGCTTGTCAAATGGTAGACGAGTGAACTGAACCTTCAGAAAACGTTTCCTACTTGTTCTCTTCGTCATCCTTCCAACATGTTATCGTTCTCTCAAAAGCACAGGCTACAGTCTTTTTATACCATTTTCACAGCTTGAAGTGTCACTGCCTTGAGTTTCTTACTTCCTTACTTATATGTACTAAATAAATATGGTGCCATGACCGAGCAGTTGTTTTCGTTGTCTGTGTGTACGTTCAGTTAACCCTGATTTAATCAACAAGCCAACTGACCTTCCTGGACGAATGATACTTCACGTGAGTGTACTGTCGTTTTTACTTCGTCAGCTGTTAATTTGAGTAAGTAGTAGTATCCTCAAGGTTGCGGCGTTTTCACTGTCAAGTATTGTATCTCTAAAGGCTGTTTCCACATTTGACTTGTTTTTATTTTATTGAAATGTGTCAAACCGTGAACATAGGTCAAGTGATTATCGTGTCTGCAATGCAGTCCATTCAGTACACGGTGAAACTTTAAATCAAGCATTTGGCTGTACTATTCTGGATATTGTTAGATAATCTTGAACGTTCCGTCGTATTCTTTCCTTGAGGGACGAAACGTAACAGCCTAGTTCGGCGAGCGAAGCGTGCCGCTGCTGTTTTCACCGGTCACGATCAAGCACAGTATTCAGACGTTTCTTCAACCACTGACGGTGTTGAGGGGATTACAAACGGTGGGACCGGGGATTCGGCTCACCAGCTGGATCAAGGCACACTTGTCTCTGGTCCGGTACTCATGGCCGAGACGGTGAATGTGTATCATGATCCGTACGAGACCACTCAGGAGCTGAAGGTGAGTGTCCCCCGTTTAGTATTTGTGGGAAACCAAATGAACGCGCAAAGTCCCAAGCAAACTTGAATTGCTTCGTTTAAGTGTTCTCGTTTTATTTGTTCCTTCTGTGTTTTCCTGTGCTGCTATCTAGGCATGTGAACCTCTTCTGTCGAATACAGTCAGTGATTGTTCACTTAACTTGGATCGTTCGCTTATGAATTTACTCTGTTTCTCTCCGACCCATTAAAGGCGCTCAGTGCGGAAATTGTGAAGACTATCCGGGATATTATCAATTTGAATCCAGTCTACCGGTAAGAGTTTGTCCGATCAAGTGCAGAAGTTGCCTACAAGATACTTCATTGTTTTTAACTATCTCATTTCAAGGTGTATGTTCAGGTGGTTTGAGTCGGCTTGACGTGGTGTCCAAACTTTTAGCAAAAAGTGCACATAAATCATGCGTGCACTTGGGGTACATCCGGATGGAGCTTGGGACCGATGCTTGGCCGTTTGCCTTACTTGTCCTCTTCATTGTAGGCTGAATGCTGCCTTTCTGAGCCGGACAACAAGTTCCTTCATATATGCGTCCTGTTTCCCATCTCCGTTCCGCTCGCTTACTCTCGAACAACTCTATCCGAGCCACCCGGCTACACTTTCCTCTTTGAGTCCATATGGTAGCAGACCCGAAATCTTAAGTGTGAAGTAAGGAATACCCGCTCATACACGGGTTATATGGAATGATCCCTATACGATCAGAACTGCGCTGATATAAACAGGTACCGTGGTTTACTCCACTTTTAACCTCGGAAAGGCGGATAACCCCGGTTACCGGAATGGCTCAGGTCATCCATTTGATGAACGGTGCAAAATCTCTGTAGGTGAACATGATCTCGAAGGCCATGTGCAGACCTACCAAGTGTTTTTTCAAATGTTGAGTATATATATATATATATATATATATATATATATATATATATCTAGATAGATAGATAGATAGATAGTGGTTACGAATATGTCA